CCCCTCCTTCCATCCCCTCCTTCCCTTCCCTTCCCTCCCTCCTTCCCTTCCTTTCCTTTCCCTTCCCCCCTCCTTCCCTTCCCTCCTTCCCTCTCCCCTCCTTCCCTTCCCTCCTTCCCTTCCCTCCCTCCTTCCTTTCCTTTCCTTTCCCTTCCCTCCTTCCCTTCCATTCCATCCTCTCCTTCCCTTCCCTCCCCTCCTTCCCTCCCCTTTTCCCCTTCCCTCCCCTCCTCTCCTTCCCTTCCTTTCCTTTCCTTTCCCTTCCCTCCTTCCCTTCCATCCCCTCCTTCCCTTCCCTTCCCTCCTTCCCTTCCCTTCCATTCCATCCCCTCCTCTCCTTCCCTTCCTTTCCCTTCCCTCCCTCTTTCCCTTCCCTTCTCTCCTTCCATCCCCTTCCCTCCCCTCCCCTCCCTCCCTTCCCTCCTCTCCTTCCCTTCCTTTCCCTTCCGTCCCCTCCTTTCCTTCCCTTCCTTTCCCTTCCCTCCCTCCTGCCCTTCCCTTCCCTTCCCTGGTTTACTAAACATTGGGTAGAAAGAAGGACTTGACTGGTTAATGCCTTTTTCCTTTTCTCCCTAGTTCCCTTTAGGACATTCTTCTGTAACCGCTGCTTTCTTTGCAGGGAAGAAACCCAAGGTTCCTCGTCCGGAATCACCCAGCTTGACTCCAAATATATCTGTGAAAAAGAAAAACAAAGATGGGAAGGGTAAGCCCAGAGAGAGTTTCGGAAGATAACGGAGTGTTTGGGGTCCGACTCAAGAGTGGAGCAGGAGCCAAGCACTCACCGGATAGATAAGAAACGGCCTGGCTTTATTTAATACTCACTCCAGGGAGAGGAACTGCAAATGAATCCAGGTGCTTTCTGGCCTTCGATAGGGGAAGTGAGGCAGAGGGATCACAATAAATGAATGGTGGGGGGGAATGATCCCTGTTTAATTCCTTGGCCATGGCTGCCCTTCCCTCCTTCATATCCTCCTCCTCCTTTTTTCCCTCCTCTTCTCTTTCTCCTTCTCTTTCTTCCTCCTTGTTCTCTTCCTCTTCCTCCTCCCTTCTTTTTTCTTGTCTTCCTCCTCTTCCTCTTCCTCCTCCTTTTTTTCCTTCTCCCCTCCCCTCCTTCTCCTTCTTTCCTCTCTTTCCTGCCCTTCCTTTTCTTCCCCCCCCCCCTTTCCCCTCCCCCTTTCCCCCCCCCCCCCCCCCCGCTTCCCCTTCTTCTGCCCCTTCCCCGCCCTTCATCGAAGGAACCCGGTCTGCTAAGTCTACCAATTGGCCAGGCAGATCCTGAGGGAGACAGATGGCACTCAAGTCACTAGGCCCTAAGCCACGGGAGGGTTTTAATAGGTGACTACCAGCACTCTGAAACACAACTGGGAGTAAACTGGCAACCAGGGCAGCTCCTGAAACAGAGGTATCGCATGGGCCTACCATCACCATTTGTGCCACTCCAGTGGGCGGAGATTATGTGGCGAGACTCTATGGCAGTGGTGGCTAACCTTTTTGGGCTCCTGTGCCAAAAATTGTGCGCGCGCTTGCATGCTCACACTCATGTGCCAGCACCCAGAAGGCAATGCACATGCCCCCACGCCCCCATGCATGCGCACGCAATTCCTACCCACCCACTCCGCCGCTCCCTTACCTGCACTGCGCCTCACAGCTGATTTCCGGCGGGTTTGAGGCTTTTTTAGGCCGCCCAGAGGCTTGAGGAAGGCTTCTGCAGGCTTCTGCAGGCCGAAAACTAGCCCCATTTTGTCACTTCCGGTATTGCCAGTAAAACAGGAAGTGATGAAACGGGGCTAGTTTTCAGCCTGCAGTAGCCTTCCTCAAGCCTCCAGGAGGCCGAAAAAAGCCTCAAACCCGCCAAAAATCAGCTGTGAGGCGCATGCATGCCCAGTGAGGTAGGTTTGCCTGCAGCTCGCGTGCCGGCAAAAATGGCTCTGCAGTGCTACCTGCAGCATGCGTGCCATAGGTTCGCCATCGGCTCTATGGCATCGAGAGCCTGCAAAGATTACAGCTGTCTCTTTGTCCATCCTCCCCTTCCATCCCACTAAGGACATAACATAAGTTCTCTCAAAAGAGTTTTGATTTTTGGTTGTCTTCCTTTCAGGGAACACCATTTACCTGTGGGAATTCCTACTGGCGCTGCTTCAGGACAAAGCCACCTGTCCCAAATACATCAAGTGGACTCAGAGAGAAAAGGGCATTTTTAAGCTGGTCGATTCCAAGGCTGTGTCCAGGCTGTGGGGAAAGCACAAAAATAAACCGGATATGAACTACGAGACCATGGGCAGAGCGCTCAGGTAGGTGCATTGCTCGAAAAGCGGCCCCTTCCCTTCAACGCTAAAGCCTTTGGAAGCCTTTTAACCCAAGCCAGACCTCCCTCATCCAAATTCTACATCAACATTATTTGTACCTCTTGGTGCCACCTGTGTGTAAGAAGTACTGCTGCAGATACAAATTGAATTGTAGAACAAATTGGAAAGGTAAATGTTTATTCAGTAAAAGAAGCCCCTGACTGATGACCACAACACAACTGAACCTAAAACTCATGTTGCTAAGCGAGACGCTCCTCCTCCTCCTCCTCCTCCTCCTCCTCCTCCCCATCTCCTTCTCCCTCACCTGTCCCTCCCATCCTTCTTCTGCTTCTTGTCCTCCTCCTCTGCCTCCCATCCTTCTCTTTCTCCTTCTTCTGCTTCTTCTCCTTCTGTTTCTTCTCCTTCTCCTCCCATCCTTCTCCTTCTCTTTCTCTTCCTTCTTCTGCTTCTTCTCCTTCTCCTGCTGCTGCTTCTCCTTCCATGCCTTTTCCTTCACCCCCTTCTCCTCTGCCTCCCATTCTCCTCCTTCTTCCCCTTCTTCTTCTTTTTCTGCTGCTTCTCCTTCTTCCACTTCTCCTTCTTTCTGCTCCTTCTTCTTCAACTTCTTCTCCTTTTTCTACTGCTTTTCCTTCTTTCACTTCTTCTCCTTCTTCCTCTCCTCCTCCTTCTGTTTCCTCCTTCTCCATAGAAGCTTCGGCTGGAGAAAAGAACCTTCTCTAGTTGAAGGAAGAGACTTAAAGCCACCCAACATCACTGACTCTACTCAGCTATTTCAGAACATGTAGACCCGTGATGGCGAACCTATGGCACGCGTGCCACAGGTGGCACGCACAGCCATTTGTGCCGGCACGTGAGCTGCAGGCAGACTTACCTCACTGGGCAGGCACACGCCTCACAGCTGGTTTTCGGCGGGTTTGAGGCCTTTTTCAGCCTCCCAGAGGCTTGAGGAAGGCTTCTACAGGCTTTGCAGGCCAAAAACTAGCCCTGTTTCGTCACTTCCTTTTTTTCTGGAAATACCGGAAGTGTCGAAACGGGGCTAGTTTTCTGCCTGCAGAAGCCTTCCTTGAGCCTCTGGGAGGCCGAAAAAGGCCTCAAACTGGCCGAAAATCAGCTGTAAGGTGCGGTGGAAGTAAGGGGGTGGGGGGGGTGGGGGGGGACGCGTGCATGCGTATGGGGCGTGGGGGGGCCGCGCATTATTTTCTGAGCGTTGGCATGCGAGCGCGAGCGTGCAAACGCATGCACAATTTTTGGCACAGGAGCCCCAAAAGGTTAGCTACCACTGATGTAGACAAACCTGCTCAAACGTTTTCACCGATCAATACATGCTTGGGAATTAGCTGCACATTCTGTAAATTCCCTAAAACAGTGGCCCCCAACCTTTTTTGTGCCGCGGCCTGGTACCGGCATCACAAAATGATCCGTGGCCCGGTACCAGCATCAGCACGCATGACAAGGCAAGGCGAGCCGAGCGACCGGCCAGCCAGCCGTCCCCCACTTCTCCCCGCCACCTTCAACTCCTCCTTTGTACCTTTGTCGATGGGCTTCGCTTCAGGACGGCTTCGGGACGGTCGCTCGGCTCGCCTTGCCTTGGGTGCTGAAAGAATCCTCGCGCCTTAGTTTCGTTCGAAGCCCCCCCCCCCTCGATGAAACTAAGGCGCGAGGATTCCTTCAGGACCCAAACGCCGCTTTCCAACCGGAAAAGCTCACCCGGAAGCACTTTCTCGTCAAACAAGATGGCGGCACCCAGCAAACTGGCGGCCCGGTAGGAAATGTTCCACGGACCGGTACCGGTCCGCGGCCCGGTGGTTGGGGACCCCTGCCCTAAAAGAAAATGTTTAGGAAGTAACTTTTTTTTAAAATTATTCACCTTTGAAGTGGGTTCGTTTTGCCCTGTGGCTTAAACCCTTGGTGTGGTTTTTTCCTTGTTCACACAGATACTACTACCAAAGAGGCATTTTAGCCAAAGTAGAGGGCCAACGTTTGGTGTACCAGTTCAAGGAAATGCCAAAAGACATCATCTATATCGACGACGTAGATCCCAACTCCAGCCTAGACTCTCCGGATTCCTCTCTACTCTCCACCCCCGGGGCCAACAGAAGCCAAGCGGGCAAAGCCAAGGCCTCTTCCAATTCGGGCTCCAAAGGAAGTGGATCTGCCCCCCTTTTAAAATTGCCCTTCAACGCCAAGTCCGCCAAACTGAAGCAGCCCTTGGAGACTGTGCCCCAGCCCCTGCCTTCTTTGACCCCTGAAGTGCTGACGACAATGCAGTCCAGCCAGCCGACTCATCCTGCCCAACTTTATCGGACAGTCCATTTAATGCCGTCGGTGCAATCCATCCAGGAAGGGCACGCGGCCGTAACCGGTAACTTGCTGGACGAATCCCTGAATCCTTCGGTTACAAACATCAGGTAAGGAAAAAGCGAAGCGGATCTTGAAAAACATTGGGGAGATCTTTGGCCTGGCTTTTCCCGTATCGTACGTGGGTTTTTTTTTCCTCGTCTGAAAAGCCTTTTGAGGTTTACAAACAGAAGACACGTATGCGAAAGGGGTCTTCTTGCTACATTTTGGGGTGTCATGCCCCAATCCGAGGAGGAAGACGAACAGCTGACACAGGGAGTGGGAGCGTGGCTTCGTTGGCTGTGGAAGAACCTGGGGAAGGTCAAAGTCCTGCTGGGCAGTGCAGGGGAGAGAGAGGACAAGGGAGAGGGAGTTCAGAGGAAGACCCAGGCCCACCCCCTCTTCATCCTAGGGCACGCAGGGAGGAACCGAGAAGAGAGCAACGTGGGTTCCATGGCTTACGGGGGAGGGAAAGGGCCCTGATTCCCTTCATTAGGCACACCTGAGAATGAGAGTTTAAAAGATCAAGCTGAGTGCGGCGTCTGCTGGGAGTAAACGTGAGTTTATCTTGTGTTGACTTTGGTTATCTGTGTTCCTAGCATCTTCCCAACCATGTTGAGTGATTGCTGTGCCTTCACTCTGGAATTGTTGCTCCTGTCCTTTTGAATTAATTACCTCATCTTGCCTTGATTGGACTTATAGTTACAGTTTTTGTTGACCATGGTTTGGACTTGATTCTCTGCAGCCCAAGGCTGTTCCTGGGAGAGTTTTTCTCCAGCCTATAAGGTAATCAGGACATTGGGGGCAAAGTTGGAGCTAATAAAGGGACTCCTACTGATTATCTGACTGAGTTGCCTTTGTGCCACGCCCCTTTGGGTCATCATATGAGGTCTCTCTCTGTGAAAAACATAAAGATATGCTTGGGTTCTTTTGTGTACAACTTAACCATGGAGATTCTCGGTCATCTAGATCAGTGGCCTCCAACCTTTTGGGCACCTTTGGGGACCGGTTCCGTGGAGAGAGGCTTTTCTGCAGCCCAGAGTGGGCATGGTTTTGCGTGCTGCCTGCATCCTGTGGATGGGAGCTTTGCTTGTTTTTGCAGCCCGATTTCTGGCATGCCATGACCCAGTGCTGGTTCATGGACCGGGCTTTACGGACCTCTGATCTGGTTGTCCCAAAGGTGTTTTTTTTTTTTTTTAAAGGCAACTGGACAGGGTGGATAAAACACCAGAGAGCAAAAACAGCCTCCCCGGGCTCCGGAGGCTCTCTGGAAGTCAGAAACGGGCCCATTTCCAGCCTTCATGAACTTCCAGGAGGCCAGTTTTCCGCCCTCCCTGAGCCCTGCACTTACCTGCATCCAAAACGGGCTGTGTGGGGACTCCTGGGAGGGGCGGGGTGGGGTGGGTGGGGCCAGCCAGGATTGAGATTTGGGGGTTCTCCAAACTACACAGAATCTTAGCTAGGGGCTCTTCTGAATCCCTGAGAACCCCCAGCGGCTCCATCCCTGATCTGCATGTGACAGACAAGAGGCTGCTCTTTTGAAGACAGGAAAGTCCACATTTTGGACAGAGAGGACCACTAGCTTGAAAGAGGGGTCAAAGAGGCCATCTAGGTTAAAGTTGAACAGCCCTCTCTTCAACAGAGGGGGTAAGACACCACATCACCCATCTCCTGCCCCCAACACAGTCCTTTCAGCACTTCCAAGAAGGCTGCACAGCCATTTGCACCACTCCGGTGACCCTGAGGACACAGATAAACCTCCAAGTGGCCTCAGTGACCCCCTAAAAGGATGCAAATGACCAGCTCTGTCTGCAAGGAGTCTCAATCCTTCCCTTCCCCACCATTCAGTCAGAGCTGAAGAAGCTTCTCGGATGAGAAGCGAAACACCATCCAGGAAGAAACAAAGGATGTCCCATTGCGTTGTGAAAAAAGCACCTTTGCCCCAAGTGTGCAAGGTGTGACGCAGGAATATAAATTTATACCCAGAGCACAGAGCAGGGAACAATATAATTCTGTAGCTGAAACCAACAGGAAATGAAGCCAGAGATTTTTCTAACACTCATTTTTCCGTTCTTTTTCTTTTTAATGCTCTTTCCTCTTAAGGATGGAGCTTGCATTAAGTAGACCACTGTTGCAAAAATTAAATTAGTCGGATGGGAGAGAGATCTAGGTTTGGCTAATTTTGGCAGAAGGGGGTTTACAGTAGCACGTCTCTTCTCCTAGCTTGGTCTAGCTAATTGAGAATAAAGAGCAGAAGAGCTAAAGAACAAATGTTCAATTTGGGGTTATTCAGAGGGTAGGCCATGCATGGTTGATTCCCCCTTTCCAGTGATTTTGACTTATTTCAGTGATCTAATCCAAATTATATATGAAAACTGCAGTCCTGGTTCTAATTTTATGCAGTCTTCAAGGATGGATGAGACAACGAGGAAAACATTCTAGGTAATCTCTTTAGTGATGTATATACACCACTTTGGCTACAGTTCCAGCTGGGGCCATCTTGCCTTATTTAAACATATTTTAAAATATTCTCTTTTCAGTAAAAAAATGAAAAAAAAAATGGCCCGATCCGATTCAGGGAATAATGAAAGAAGTTGAGGACTTAAGAGGAAAAAGAGATAAATCATTGCAAGAAAAAATGTAGGATGTGGCTGGAACTCTACAGGAGGGTTAAGTGTGTTTCGCCGTTCTAGCGGAGAGATGCAGCTGTCATGTCCCTTGATTGAAAATGGGTACACATTTTTCATTTTTAAAAAAAAATTCGGTTACAATATAAAACACAAAAGCAAATGCTAGGAAAAATAAAGGAGGGAAAAGGGTAGAAAAAGTTGTAGAGAAAAAGGGGAGGGGGAAAGAAAAGAAAAGGCATTTACTTCCAACTGGCTTTGGTGCAGTAGCTCCCAGTGCTGACTTTACAACAGGCTTACAAACTTTAACAGGACTTCATTTGTGCTGGGGGCCCGGCTTGAATAAATCATGATTCTCTTTCACAGTTTCAGAGCAGTTTGTGCTTCTGTTTTGGCCAGATCTAGAGTTTGCACCATTGAAAGCAGTCTATGGCCACCCAATTGGAGATTCCTGTCAATACCTCCATTTTGTTGAAGATGTAGTTTTCCTGGGAGGCATGATCTCAATTGGTCTCAAACAGGGGTGGTATTCTACTGGTTCAGCCCGGTTCGAGCAAACTGGTGGTAAAAACAGCTACCTGTTTAGCTGAAGCGGTATTTCTTTCTTTCTTTTTTTCTCCTTCATGATGACCAGCTGTTCTGATGATCAGCTGTGCTGGGATCCTCTTCAGTGTCTTACTGCTTCTTACTTACTACTTACTTACTTACTACTTACTTCACCCAGGAGGCTTCCCTGAGGCCCAGGAGGCAAAAAGGGCGCGAGGGTGTGTGTGCTGCGCCCTCCCCCAGTGCCCCTCAGGCTTCCCTGAGGCCCAGGAGGCAAAAAAATGGAGCGCCGGGGGTGTGTGTGCAAAAAAAAGAAGCCATTTTCATCCAGTCACACCCACCTAGCCACACCCACCTAGCCACACCCACCTAGCCACGCCCACAGAACCGGTAGTAAAAATATTTGCATCCCACCCCTGGTCTCGAAGTGCTTCATGACTCCCCAAAATAGAAAGCTACAACAAACATAAAAGAAGGAAGGAAGGAAAGGAGGGAGAGAGGGAGGAAATTAAAGAGAAACCAAGAAGATGGTTCCACCTTAATGCAGGCCTCAACTATTAATATTACAATACATTTTGTGTTGCATAATAGTCAAGGGAGGTCTCATACTGTCAGTCCTGCCCCAACTTGGTCTCTTAGGTAAGAACGACCTTCAATTCCATTTGGAGTGAAAGGTTTACTTTCCTAAAAGCCAAGTGGATTACAGCGTAGCAAACCCAGAATTGAGATTTGCGTGCCAAAACTTTCCTGGTTATTTTCCCCCTCTTTGTTCCTTTCCCTCGCTGGTCTCCCTCATTGTCCAATCCTATTCAAAGAAAACGTTTTGGGAACAGTCTCTTTGACTGGGCGGTACGGAGCTGCGTACGATGAGTCGTTAGCTTTCCCCCCATCCCGCTCGGTCCCTGCCCTCCTCATAGACTGACTATCTTCTTTGGTCTTTTTAGTTGCCAGCAGAAAGGGAGTGGGGGAAAAACAGTGCATTCCTTAAATGGTTCAGATAATTGCTAGGCAGCCGAAGCTGTTGGCACGCAAGATTATTACTGGAGAGCATGATTGATGACTCTTGGCTATGGATGTGTCCCATTGGAGAATATACATCCAGGGGGTGGGGGGAAGACCAGGTTCAAGGGTGAAAGGAATGATGTTTCTTAGAGTCGGCTGCATCCACGTAATGCCGACATGGTCACTCCCAATAAATCATTTTATTTTTTTTACTCTGAGAGATGCAGCTAGAGACTTAGGAGACTTTGAATGGGGTTGTATTGTCAGAGCCTTGACAGCAACAGCCAGGGAACGCAAAGAGCAAGTCTAAAAAAAAAATAAGGCAGTTCTGACCTACATTATTTCTCTTACTTCAATAGGACCATCCAAGCCTCAGGCCAGGTTCCCGTCGTGGTCTCTCCCGGAAACCAGCAACTGCACACCGTAACACTCCAGACAGTGCCTTTAACCACTGTGATAGCCAGCGCGGATCCGACGTCTTCGGCCGCCTCCCAGAAGTTCATCCTGCAAGCCATCCCATCATCGCAGCCCGTGACTGTCCTTAAAGAGAACGTGGTGCTGCAGTCCTCCAAGCCGGTCTCCCCTCCGTCGTCCATCGTTTTCAGCCCGGCTCAGGTCCACCAAGTCCTCACCAGCAACGTCCAGACCATTTGCAACGGGACGATGAATGTGGCCTCCTCCTCCTCCTCCCCGTCTTTCAGCACCGCCACCTCCGTAGTAACTTTTACGCCCGGCAGTTCCCACGCGGCCGCCGCTCAGCCCTCGTCCTCCTCCAACGCCGTGATCACGTCAGTGATCAAGGCGCCGGAAACCAAAGCCGCCGTGATGCAAGGGACGGTTAAATTGGAAGCCGACAATTCCGCAGGGGGGGAAGACGACCAACCCTCGGAGCCTAGTTTCCACCAACAGCCGTTCGTCGTCATGGTCTCCACTTCCAACGGCTTCCCGCCTGCGGTACATCACATCAAACAGGAAAGCGAACACTTCGCGCCGCCGAGCCCTTACGAGTAAACAAGAAGAAACTTGGAAAAAAATTTTTTTGCTCTTTTTCCTGAATGTGATGGGGAAAAAAAAAAAACGCCTCCCACCAATGGTGTATATAACTTTTGATTCCAAAGCCAGGCATTATAAAGCTACCTTTTTTATTTTTTAATTTTTAAATTTCTCGAATTATATTTTAGAAGTAACGCTGTAGAGTTGATTTCCAGCTTTGTCCTTTCCTCTGCCATATAAACTATGATGTGTTTAAAAAAAAAAAGGCAAGCATGAAGGAACATGCAGTTAATCTTTTCTTTTCTCTCTCTTTCTCTCTCTTTTTTGATCACTGTCCAAAAATTCTAAATTTCTTAGACTTCCTGTATTGTTTGTCTTGTCTTGCATAATAATGTAATCAGTGCTTTCAAGCAATAGTTAATTTCAGGAGGTTTTTTTTTTCATGCCATTATTTGGCTCTTTTTTACAAAAAAGGTAAATTCCAAAGATCTTTTTACTCAATGTCCTTAGAATATATTTTGTTTTATATGGATATATAAAGCAGTGGGCGATTGGATCTTTGTTCGTTCAGTTGCCTTTTGCCCCGTTGAGAAATCATTTTGCAAAGAAAAGCATTTCCCTTCTATCAATAAGATATTTACCACCACTTATGCATTCTATTTACTATATATTTTCTATTCTAATAAGGACAATATATAAAGTGGCTCACCAAAAACGGGAGCTGTCACTACAGGTGCAATTGTTTTTCAGACCACTTAAAACCTTTTGAGGCATAAAGAAATGTGCTGGTTTTTGTGTTTTTTTTTTGCAATTATTTTTATAAGGAAATAAAAAATAGAAGTTATATGGGACTTAACCCGAGTATTTTGAGATTAAAATATTTCTACAAAATACCTTTTCTATTGTAAATATGTAATTTAATTTCTCAAAAAGATTTTTTTCATAAAAAAAAGATATTTCCATAGAGCAATATTTTATAGATACAGATAAGATCATTATGTTTAGAGTTCTAAAGTTTTACGTATCCATGTATTGGGGAGTAAATTTGTATTTAAAAGGAAAAAAAAATTAAATTGTGGGACGGACCTCTTTGAAGCTGTTTCCTCTTTTTTGTATTTTAATTGGTTTATCATGAAAATAAATCAAATACAACATCCTGGTATGTTTGTCTTTCTCAGTCTGAAATCTGATATTGTGGTAGGCATTCATAAGTTATCGCAGACCTGTAATAAAATACCCTGTGCAAGAAGGAATCAGATTTAAGATACATAAATCTTTATTATTTTGGCCCCGCCAAAAAGGCCCTTAAGTTATACTTTTGTTGTTTAAAATCAAGCCAAGCTAAAAATCAGGTGTGAGAATTTAAACATAAGCCATAAGTCTTGGGAGCTGGCAGTAATGGTTTGGTAAATAAATTAAGCATTTGCTACATTCATCTCCAATCTACTTTGCATATATTAAATAATTTAGCATCATGTTTAATAGGATCAAAAAGGGCTCAACTATTTCTTAACTCCCAGGAGCTAAAATATCTTGCAGAACTGTACATCAGCTATCTGTATATCCTATCTCAGTAAGTACAGCTAACAAGTCCAGAATGTATGAAGTTACTATTTCCACCATAAATGAAAATTTACACGCACAGCACACCACACACACACACACACACACACACACACACACACAGAGAGAGGCTTGAAAACATACTTGTTTTACTCCTGGCCTTCTTCTCATTCTTTCTCTTAAATGCGTACATTGCTGCAATAATACAGAATTAAGCTGTATACAGTATCTATTTCTAACCTTAAAATAGTTTTTTCAGAACAACCTGAATATCTAGATTGGAGCTATTGCTAAAAAGGGCAGGTTTAATGTATGGAGAAACTTGTATTGAATAAAAAAATTGAATATTCTATGCATCATGGATTGCATTGCTTGCAAATAACAGCATTGAGGTTTAACCCTTCAGCACCCCATAATAGATTATTAATGTAATTTCTCAGGGAAGCAATAACGCCCAAGTTCGTGTGTCCTCTGACAACATTTTAAATAATAACATCCCAGCAGATATCCTGGAAATTACAACACCCACTTTATCATTTATTTTACTTATGAAATTTCTGCACCGCCCTTCTCACCTAAGTGACTGTGGACAGCTGACAACAACGATAAATTCATGATAAAACAACCAAAATTGCACTTTATGATAAAAGGGTAAAATAATTTAAAGACTAGACTGTCAAAAAATGCCCGTTAACAAATATTTACCAGTCTCCACAGTGGATTTCAATCTCTCTATATAAAAGCGAAATGCCACTCACGCATCATCACAAAATCTCCAGAACCATAAAGCCTACAAACTTGAAATTTGGCCCGTATGTCCCTCTTGGCTTCTAGGGGCTCACTAAGAAAGGATTTTTCAAAATGACCACCGGAGCATTAGTATTTCCTATATTATTATTATTAGCACGCTCTGATTCTAAGGAATTTTACTCCCACTCCCCACCTGAAAAGAAATCTCTTCCAAAGGCAAAACACAAGCAGAGGAGTTTCAGTTTTAGTCTCAGAGCACCAAGCAGCTTGAGTACAGAACAGTTGAGTTAAGCCACGCCCAGGCTCCTTGCTGTCTCCTTGCTTACCCAGCAAATACTGTTTCAGTTTCCAAACAGCCCTCAACTCTCACACACTGATAGGACGCTAGCCAGGTGAATACCCATGGA